CGAGTAGCGGCTAGCTACTCCCCCAGTTTGTCATAACATCATCTCTCTTCCTCATTTTGTCGTTACACTAGTTGTGTTCGGTTCACAATCGACTGATCGTGTATTCAAATTTTCGTTCAAGCTGTGATTTGAAAAATGATTACTCTTTTGTTCATAGGATTTGAATGTTATATCATAGCTCACTATGGTGCGTTGATTCGAATCCGACACAGAGTGATGTTTATTTTTTAATTTTTTTGAGGACGAAAAAGAAACACGTCACAACGCGTTCAGAGACCAGAAAATGTTGCATTCCCGATGCGTTCCAACGTGTCAAGTTGCATAAGTCATAGACGCTCAGGAACGCATTCAAGATCGAAAAGCAATTACCTGGGATGAAATCGTATTTCATTTTACACTCGCAAAATGGAGCAATAGTATTTTTGATCGATCTAGTAGATTCGACGAGTACTAACAATTATCCATAGTGTTTTCTATTGCACAAGCCATTGAAATATAGCTCGAATGAATCATGCAGCACAAGATGATAACAGAAAGGATTGAGCACGTTTCTCGCAACAGGAAAAATAACGAAACTAAAATAACTGCGAATAAGTAAAATAAAATCTGGCATGGAGGGTGTGGGTGATCGAAGAAGAATTGCCTACACCCACACCTTCAAGATGAATATTTTACCTAATGCTTGATGTTTCCTATTTTAATTTAGGTTTTCAAGACATATTTTCAGTTCATTGTCTGAACTATTTCGTTAATCCTAAAATGAGTGACGATATTATATTATTCTATTAGTTGAAAAAAATATTTCTTCAAAAGCATATTCAACTATTATTATTTAGTCTTTGTAATTATTTGGGACAATCTGTCCAACCATATTTTCCATCTCAAATTGTATTTTCACCTGATGATGGCACAACAACAATTGCAATTGATGAAATAAATCAACGAGCTTATTTAACATTTCCTGTGAATTCTATGATGAAAGTCAGTGCTTATGTTTGGCAGCACTTTCCATATGCAGTTCCTGATTCTCCACAATCAAAACATTATGTTTACTTAGCTACAACTTCTCTAATAAATTTTTGTTCATATGAAACATATTGGAAATATGGTGCATATAGACTCAATCAATTTCCATTACATTGGGGTAATAATAGTTTATATAAAATACGAAATGATGTAAATTTTAATTATGAAATGATACATTCAAATAATTCTTCTAAAGATGAAGACTATTGGTATTCAAATGAAACATGTTCAACAAATACTAGAGATAAATATCCATGTCAAGAAATTTATTTTAAGAAAAATACTGATATTCCGCTTCGATTAGCTGAAGTTCGTCGTACACCATTCTCGTCTAATCGTGTAATAACAAATTTTACAATTATATCAATAGGAAAACCAGATGACAAATATTTTGATTCAATATCACCAGATTGGTATGTCAATTGTAGAGATGCTGATCTCGGTGTTTTATATAATCTAACATTAATAAGACTAAATGTAGGAGAAAGTGCAAAAGTTCAAGTTTGGCTTTCGGCTCCACCACATGAAATTAATGGAAATGATACTGTTAATATTCAATGGAGAACATCTCAATGCACTAATTGTTTTACATGGACACCAAAACAACTTTCTTTTAACAGCAAAAATTTTCAAGAAAGACAAACATTAACAATTACACGTCTTCATATGTCAGAACAATCCATTTTTATTCCAATTTTGGAAGGTGGAGGTTTTGCGTTTATTGAAGCTGCGACTTATTCCTTATCTATTCGATGAATTTCTTTCTTTTCATTTGGAATACCTATGAAATAAATATAAAGTTCCTTTCACAAGGATATTTCAATGAGATACTTACACAGAATGTTGATGTACAAGAGCACTATTTCCAATAAAATCTTTTTCTAACACTTTCTGAAAAAAAGAATGATGTCATAATCCCATTACACTGGGTATCGAGAGCTAAACATTATCTAATGTCAATGAATAATTTATTTGAACGTGGGTGGGTGTGGTTGTGGGTGTGGGTGTGGGTGTGGGTGGGTGTGGGTGTGGGTGTGGGTGGGTGTGGGTGTGTGTGGTTGTGAATGATGGAGATACCCACATCCACATCCACACCCACACCCACAACCACACACCCACACCCACACCACACCCACACCCACAACCACACACCCACACCCACACCACACCCACACCCACCCACACGCTCTCTAGAAACTTGTCTATACATTGGTCATTGGTGGACAAAGAGTGTCTGCCTCAGAAGAACTGATGCGTTAGTCAGTTTTGCTGTTCGTTCCACAAAAGCTCCATCCGATTCAAAATGATAAGCTTCACCGGGTTGACGAAAAAGAAGTTGATGTTTCTTCAAAAACGCGAGTCGATAGGCAACTGCTCCCAAATCAGCACCTTTTTTCTTAAGTGCCACTGTTATACATTTTTCAGTTCCGTCGTCCACAATGTTTGGAACTGACTCCGTCATATGGTTCGTTGTTTCTTGGAGTTCTGGCCAGCGATAGTGTGAGACAAATCCCCAAGCAATAATGTCATTTTCAGCTTTCATGTGTGGAAAGATTTCTTTTGCAAACGAGCGTAAGTAAAAGTTGTCTGCGTTAGTAAAAATAACATATGCACACATTGATGGAGACCGTGTATGTTGTTCGTAAAGGTATGTGAGTGCACGATCCGTCATTTCATAGCCAAAATCTTTTCCCTCTGAAGGCATGCCTAAATCCATATAAGTCGCGTAATCAGTACGAAACAGAAGCTCATTAATAAGATTGATTGTTTGAGTTAATAATTCAATATCGGTGCGATTATCTGTATTCACTATAAACATACGAATATTATCGTATTCAGTATGATGTAATGCCAGGGCTAATACACGTAGATAGCCAATTTGTGGTCCGTATACTCGCGTAACAAAACACAACATAGGAGACGTCGAGTTTAATCAGGGACTTGGGAGAGATCGCGTCCATGTTGAAACGTGACTATTACCTATTTTGCGCTCACTTATCCCATACATAATGAAGTAACTCCTGTTATACAAGAATATACTGAGTCCAAACATAAAAAGTAAACCAATAGCGAATTTCCATTGTACTGTCTGAAGTTGTCGCATGTTTAGCATACCAAAATATACTGACAAGCTTAATGTTCGAGGACAATGAAACTATCAGATTTTATCTAATATATCATGAAAATCGATGACCTATACCGCTAATATAATTTATATCGCCACTTTCATTTAGCGTATCAATTTCATATTGTGATTGAAGATTCTCAGTAATATATTCCAAATAGGGGTGGTACTTTACTTTTACTTTATAAAATAAAGATAAATGAATCCTTTACTCTTAAAAAACAAAGATAAATGGATCCTTTATTTTTAAAAAATAAAGATAAATGATCATTTATTTTTAAAAAATAAAGTTAAATAAATAAAGGAATACTTTATTTTTAAAATATAAATGTAAATGAATCATTTATTTTTTAAAAATAAATGAAAAATAAAGGAATAAATAATACTTTTTACGATGACAGATAATGTAATTGAAAGAGCACTAGAATCATGAAATAAAACACATAAGCTGTAATGAACATAATTTTTTGTATGATTTAATTCCAAGTGTATCGACATATAAAAAAGCTTCTTTTGGCAGGCACTATTTGCCATTAATATATTTATTTTGGCAGGTACTATTTGCCATTGATATATTTATCTTGGCAGGCACTATTTGCCATTGATATATTTATTCTCTATAGTATATCGCAATACAAATTTAACATGATAATTGGGATAGAAGGTAGACTAGTTTAATAATAGTAAAAAGTCACTTTTTACTTCCAAAAATTTCCATACAAACTTCAAATTCAAATACAGTTCTCTAAAACTATTTAGGAAAAAGTTGAATCTATATTCACGAATCAAAGAAAAGCCAAGGTACATTGTGGAAATCGAATCGTTTCCAAAGAGCACTATCTGCAGAGCAACTTGTTTACTTTACAGTAGGTAGGGCACGATGCATATGTTAATTCTCTATATCCGTATTTAGTTGAAGATTTTTTTATGAAAGAAAATATTAGATCATTGGGAGAAGCTCACGAAAGATAATTTTTAAAGAATCTCAATTCTATCAGTATGGTCTGAATGATTGAAGACTTTAGTTAAGAAAAGAAACTCTTCAACCAAATACAGATAAAAGGAGTTGACCTGTGCATCCTTTCCTACCTACTGAAAAACAGACAAGTTGGTCAATGTAAAACTGATCTATGAAAACGATTCGATTGTTGAATCTTAATTTGTGTTGTCTAGTATTCGTATGTATGGACTCGAGTTTTCTTAAAGGATTTTCGAAAAAAAACGTGAATAGCGCGCATATTGAAAAAATAGTGAACAAATGCATTTGAAAAATTAACTATTGTTCATTCTCTTTCGAAGAACCTTTAATGAGAACTAAACAAAGTACCTGAAGTGAGACTGTCTCGATGTATGCGTGAGAGAGAGACGAAGCGAGAAAGAAAAAAAATAGTAAACAACTATCATGAATCTTATGAATACTTGCATGGTAGAATTTCTCATAGAAAGAGCAGTAATATTAGTTTATATTTGATTCATTGCAATCCTGAAAGTAAATGGCGATAAAATTAAAAACAAATATACCATAATTCCAAAAAATTTTTGTTTCCCCTTCACAAAAAGCCACATAATAAATACTATGATAACCGTTTCAACTTGTTTATTTCAGTTTCATTGTGCATTATTCTCATCAAATTATATAGAGAAATGTTTAACCAGATACCCTAATTTTTTAGCTAGTGCATGAGTTAGTTTCCCTTGATTACCTTTAGTTTGGATTAGATATTTTTTCACAGTTTAAGAACAAAATTTCAGTAAGTTATATGACGCAACAACGAAATAGAAACTCGACGGATATATAATAAGTATGTGGGTGGGTTAGAGTGTGTAAGTGTGCATTTGAACCCGATAATAGGAAACCATCGCACTTGTATTCCACACTCTATCCACATCCTTACTTTTTCGTATGTTCTACAAAATATTTCTTATTTCTTCGTATATTTATTCAAGGTCTTTTCTTTTAATATGTAGACTATCACAATCACTAGTAAGTTACCGATATTTTTAGTTCAACTAACCAACAGAAAGTAATTTCTCATACAACAGTCAATAATTGGAATTTTTGTAATACAATCAACAGAAAGTATATCCTCGAAAATTAAGCTGTGAAAAGCATTTATTAGCTTACTGTTAAAATAAGAAATCATATACTTTTTTTGCAACATTGATTAATGATTATGAGCGAGTCTCGGTTTTACTTTTGTTATAATGACACTTAATTTTACATTTAAAATGAAAAAAAATACAGATAAAATTTGGATTTTCACACAGATTTCACGATAGTCACGTATAGTTGTTTTTAGCAAATACTGCATCAAGCACTTCAAATTTATTCTAATGAAGTTATCGAGTAGATGATTTCGAAAAAATAACAGATGATCACACTTTGTACGAGAGACCAGAGGGCAAAAGTCAAGGAAAAAGATATTAATAATCTATTCGAATAGTTTCTTGCTCATATTGAAGTTGTCATTTGTGAGGATCTGTTGAGATGGTTAAATAGATCGTTTTCTACTAGCGTGACAACAATTGTGAGCATAGACCATTTTTCTATTATAAAAGATCTCTAAAATTTACATGTTCTTATCAAAATTAGTGAACATTACTGATTTGCAAAGCACTAGTTTTATTTTCTCATATTCATCTGTACGTTTTTTATTCGAAAGATGCTTCATTTCATGAAAAGCACTATCGAAATAGTGTCACTTTGGCTAAGTTACTTCTGCTCTTTGATTCATATCACCTTAACGATCTGACTTGCGTTTTGTACTGTTACTGCAAGTGCAACATCAAATTTTTTCTTTGAAACAGAAGCACTGCAATTGAAGTTTATGATGAGTGTGTGAATGATTGTTAAAAACTGGTTCGTATGTGTTTCTTCCAGTGAATATCTTCGAGTGCATGATCACGTTTCCCTCCATCAGCTACATACTTACACTCCTTTCCAAACACATAGAAAGAGTCATGACACTATGCACCCTTTTCACGTTAATAGCGCCAATATTTACAGCGAATCCCAACTCCCGAGTTCCAAAAATTAGATTCTTATCCTCAACCAACTAAATGCGACAAGAATTAGATGGTGAAAATATGTGACTGACTAAATTTCCGGGATAGAGAGGGCTTAATTTAAATAGCTTCTTGGAAATCTCACAAATGTATACGTACTTGCCAGTTCACACAAGCAAGCAGACATGCCACGAAATGTACAAAACTTATGCTATTACTTATAATTCTTTCTGAGGTTAAGGGCATATAGAGTATATTTGGTAACGTTGTGGATAATTAGAAGTGAGATTCAAAATTATGAAGAAATTCTATTTAGAAATATGAAGATTTAGTGATAATCGATCCGATGGAGACATTCTTTGATTCTGAACTAAAGCTTGACAAAGATGCCTGAATACATAGAAAGCTTTAGATCACATTAGAATGTTCCAAGAAGCTTTTCCTCTTTCTTAGTACCCCTAAAAGATCAGAAATAAAGCTTTCATTTCTGTTATTTTTGAATTTCATCTTCGGAAACGTATTTTAAATTGAATTTACATTTTTAAATCGTAATAATCTCTCTACAGATTTATTTCATGATTCTAGTGCTCTTCCAATTACATTATCTGTCGTCGTAAAAAGTATC